TTGTGATTTAAGATTCTTTCAAACGTAAACTAAAAAAATTGCATTTATAGCCAGTATATATTCAGTATATAACTTGATGTGCGTTTAATTAGTATATATTGCATTTCTATCCAGTATATATTCAGTATATAACCTAATGTGTTTTTTATTTACGCTAAAATATCTTCTAATATACCAAACATAAACTATCAATAAACATTGGAAACAAAAACACAAACATTCATTCACAGTTTCGTCGTGGCCAACAAAACTCTAATACACAAAGCATAAATTATGAATAAAACATCGAAATAAACATTGAAACATGAAATCTTCTAATATACCAAACATAAACTATGGATAAACATCAAATAAACAATTAAAAATAGATCTATCACAAATATCCATATGTCACTGCTGCTCACGAAAAAACTGTCGTAGCACCACTGAGATGGTACCGACGAAAATATATACTGAAAATATATTGTATATACCCACAACATATACTGCCGACATCGCAACGAGCTCGATCTTTGGCCTCGCCTTCGTCATCGCAACATATACTGTCGTCTTCTCCAGACTCACTTTCATCTTAGAAATTGGGGTAACCGAGCTCTCTATTTCAGACGATTTGAGATTTTTTTATTTACAGTGTCTCCGAATATTTTTTTGAGATGTATTGCCTGGTCGGACTTGAATTGTAGAAAGGGGATGAATTGACCGTTTGACGATGAGACTTAACGGCTCGCCAAATCCTCCTCCTCTCTTTCACCGTTGTTGCATACCTTATGGTGGCCTCCATGAAAGTTAGCGTTGCCGCCAACGCGATTCCTCCTCCCCAATCGAGTAGAACGTGGGAGTTTTGTCTTGACCATTGAAGAGTGTTCAGTAAATTAGGGATAAAAGGATGAAGTGGGTGGTGGGGTGGTTTTGCAGAGAGGTGAAGTGGGCGGTGGAGTGGTTTTGCAGAGAGAGATGATAGATTCTATTTTTTTGATAAGTATATATTTAATTTCAATTAATGATCTCAATTGCATTTATTTTGCCCGAATATTCCTTAATCGAGCTTGTTTGCAAACAATTTTATTTTTTTCTATAGGTTTCAAAAACACTCGAGCCAAGCATTTTTTCACAACAAGTAAACTGTAATTGCGAACAACTCATTTATGATTTTTTGTTTGTAAAACAAGACGAGACAAACTTAAAAGAGGAAACTCGAGCCATAACTTTGGTTTATCTTACTTCTGCTTGTTTGCTGAACGAGTATTATCCCCAACATAAAATGATTTGAGTCAACTTCCAATAACTAAACCTTAACACATTCAAAGTTGATGGCAACAATACAAATTATTTTGTAGGTTAAATAAATTTGATATGAATTGCAAATGCATATACTATTACTAACAAATAAACCTAATTTTAAAAACAATAATTTCAACTATTAAAAGGCGTATTTATTCTTTTACGCGTATGTGGAAAATATCGATCATTTACCTTGTTTGGGAAAAAAGATGGTGATACGTTTTCATGTGTTGCTTAAAGAAGAGATATGAATTATGATTAGGTTAGTTATATTTATTTTATTATATTAAGAATACTAATTTGTTAATGCGAATTGGCCCTTTGACTTTTCCCATAAAAATGGACGTTCAAATTACTCAAAGAACCCACCAATTTGCCTTTGAGTAGCTTTCGTTCTATTGACCAACACGAAGCCTCTAAATATTACAAGCCTTTCATCCCAAAAATTGCACTTTATTGAAAATAAAAATAAAAATAATGTGATGTCATGCTAATACTCATACTCATTTAGATAAAATGCCCGAAAATGATAGAAAGAAAATGAACAACTTTGCTTTAAGATTACTTTTTCCATATATTTAGCATATTATATAAGTTTTTAGTGTTTACACAGGTAAATTGCAAAGTAAGAAATACATAAGATGTGCAAATATGTTAGTATGGATAGGGGTCAATAACGGTTCAGTGCAAAAACCGAATTTTTAGAAAATTAATCGAATTACATCGTGACAAAAAAGAAAATTCATAGCAAAATCGAACTATAAATTTCAAGACTACAATAAACGTATAGTAACACATTGAAATACATGGTTTGACTCAATTTTCATTTTTATCTCGAAATTTCTATACATTTTGTATTTTATTTGAAGGTTCAATACCAGATTGTGTCTAAT